CGGGGTGTGGCGGGGGATCTGGGCGTGGTGGGGGGGAGCGGGGCGTGACGGGGAGGGCGGGGGAACTGGGCGTGGTGGGGGAGGGGAGCAGGGCGTGACAGGGAGGGCGGAGGAGCTGGGCGTGGTGGGGGGAGCGGGGCGTGTCGGGGGAGGGCTGGGGTGGGGGAGGGAGCTGGGTCGGCAGCTGCCTTCCTGCTGGGATAACTGAAAGCGAAAGGTGCCGGGTGGGAGGGGAGGAAGCCCAGTGGCTGGTTCTTCCGGGGGGCCCCGGCCTGGCCTGGAACTTAGGGCCTGGGGCCCTCACCCTCCCCCCCCCGCCCTCCGCCGCCGGCACCTTTCCTCCCGGGGGGGCAGGAAGCCGGGGCGGCTCGGCAGGAGCAGGCCCCCGGCTGGGCCCAGGCCTCCCCCCCCAGCCTTTCCCAACCCGATTGCGGCAACTTCCGCCCTGCGCGGGCCCCATGCAGCGCGGGGGGACAGCTCTGAGCCCCGTGGGCCCCGCACCCCTGGCGAGCAGTGACCCCGTGGGGCAGGCCCAGGCCGGTCGCTCCCCGGACATGCCGCTCTGAGCATGGCCCTGCCCTGCAGCTCCCTGCACCCCCGCAGGTGAGTGGGGCTGAGCCGGGCCCGAGGGGCTGGGGCTGGGGCAGGACCTGCTGGTGCGAAGAGACCCCACCTGGGCCCTCAGATTGGTTGGGGGCAGGAAGGGGCCTGACCTGGGCGGCCACGAAACAGCCTCAGGAAAGGAAACTTGTCTTATCGCACACGGACAGACGAGGGGGGGCAGGGCTGGGCTAGCAGGGGCTGCGGGTCCGGAGTGAGGGGCACCGGCGGAGCTGCGTGGGAGCCCAGGGCTGGAATAGCAGGGGCTGCGGGTCGGGAGTGTGGGGCACCGGCAGAGCTGGGGGGGAGCCCAGGGCTGGAATAGCAGGGGCTGCGGGTCGGGAGTGTGGGGCACCGGCAGAGCTGGCGGTGGTGCAGGGCTGGGCCAGCAGGGGGCCGTGGGACCAGAGGGACCCCAGTGCATGTTTATAGCCGGGGGGGGCAGGCCTGGGACCCCCCTGCTCACCTGGCTTCTGTCTCCTCCTGCAGCTTCGAGGTGGAGAATGGCCCCTCCCCGGCCAGGAGCCCCCTGGACCCCCAGGCCAGCCCCGGCCTCGTCCTGCACCCCAGCTTTCCGGCCGGCCAGCGGCGCGAGTCCTTCCTGTACCGCTCGGACAGCGACTACGACCTGTCGCCCAAAACCATGTCCCGTAACTCCTCCGTCGCCAGCGAGTCGTGAGTGCCCCCGAGCCCTGCCCCCCCGGAGCCCTGCCCCGCTGCCCCCCGGAGCCCTGCCCCCCGGAGCCCTGCCCCCCTGGAGCCGTGCCTACCCTCAGCCCTGCCCCCCCGGAGCCCTGCCCCCCGGAGCCCTGCTCTGCTGCCCCCGATCCTTCCTCTGTCCCCCAAGCACACCCCCAGGGCCTCACGCCCAGACCCTGCCACCCCCTCCTGAGTGTGGGGGGCAGAGCCCCTCTGCCTCTCCCCCTCCCCTACAGCTGGGCAGTGGCAGGAACCCCCCCCCCAGTCTGTGAATGAGGCAACAGCCCTTGTACAACCCCCAGCGCAGACCCCAAAGATGGGGCCCGGCAGCCCCCAGCGCAGCCCCACAGCCCCGGCACAGAGCCCCCCCCGGCACCGAGCTCCCTGGCGCAGCCCCCCCAGCACAGAGCCCCCCGGTGCAGACCTGCCGCAGCACCCTCCCCCCAGCGCAGCCCCCCCACTGGAGCTAGCCCCAGGACGCGGGGGGGTAGTTTGGGGGGGCCCCATCGCTCACCCTGTCTGGTTTCTCTGCCCCGCAGCCACACGGAGGACCTGATCGTGACGCCCTTTGCCCAGGTGGGTGCCGGCCCCTGCAACGAGGGGGGGCTGTGAGTCATGGGCTATGGGGATCTGCCCTCACCCCCCACCCACACCAGGGGGCCCAGGGCAGGATCGCCTGCCTTGGGCCTAATCCTGTGTCATCTTCCCCCCTTGCCCCCACCCACGGCCTGTTCCTGGTCCAGGGGTGATCAGACTGACCGGCCCCAACCCCCAGAGCCCAGGGGGGTCACGGGGGCAGCCCTCTGGAGACCCCCGAGCTGCCCTGGGGCAGGGCCAGCCCCGGGTGTTGGCTCCTCGTTGCCCCTGATTGGAGGGGGCATGTGGCCCCCCAAAGGCCCTATCAGCCCTGGGGGAACGACTGAGCTGAGGCCCAGCTGGAGGGAACCTGGGCCAGCCCCATAGCCTGGGGGGGGGCGGGGCCCTTCGGGGCTGGTGCTGAGCTGAATGCAGCCCAAAAAGGCCCCAGGGTCACGGGCCCCACGGTGCTTGTGGGCCCCTGGCAGGGAGGGGCTGCCCCCTCCCCCCCCCAGCCTCCTAGCTCCAGCCCTGACCCTCCTCTCCCTGCAGGTGCTGGCCAGTCTGCGCAGCGTGAGGAACAACTTCTCCATCCTGGCCAACGTCCCGACCCCAACGTCCAACAAGTGAGTGACCCCCGGGGTGCCAGCCCCCCTTCTCTGCCCCCCAGGACCCCAGCCCCCTTCTCTCACCCTGGCTGGGGGCACTCGGGGTTGACTGGGGATTTAAGGAGTCGTGCCCCCCCCCCCCCCCCAGCAGAAATAGCGGGAAATCCCCAATAGCCCCAGGGCTGCCAGCCTGAGGGAGGGGGGAGTGCCCCCTCCTGAGCCTCCCCCCACTGCCTGTAGCCCAGCCCCCCCCCAGTGTGGCCCTCACACACACACCTGGGCCCTGTGCTGGGAGACGGCCCCACCCCAGGAAGTGCCGTTGGTGTGAGCTGCCCAGGGATCCGCCGCACACACCTGGTAAATTACCTTCCTTTTGGGGGGCTGGTCCCAGCCCCCCAGTCTGCACCCCAACCCTGCTGCAGGGAT